CCTTAGCAGGTGTAGGCCCCCACCCTAACCCTCTTTCTGCTGCATTTTTTTTTTTCTTTTTTGCAGCACTTGTCACTACCTGGAATTATTTATTTTATTGCCGATTGTCTGATCTTCCTCTATTCCCACCTCTACTTCTGCATAGAAATGAGGCATAGGAGCAGGAGTGTTATCTTGTTCATCCCCATATGCTTAGCATATGCAGATGTGTGATCAATATTTTTGAAAGAAAGAAGTCATAAGCTTCTTCTTTAATTTAACTCTTGGTCAGATAGTTTTCCTTTATCAACCATTTCTATAACATTGATTTTGAATGTCTCTGCACAGGTATGTCTTCTGAATACTGGCTCAGCTACAGAAATAGAATCCTCATTTTTCTAAAAATCAGCTACACTATTATATAATTTTTAGAACCCCATGCTGTGCACTCCTGAATGATTCCATGAGCTAAGTGTAAAGCTACAGGGGTAACAGGACAATGCTTGCTCTCTTGTAACCCTGTCATGGTGGAGCTTTTATCTCTCTGTGTTCTCTGCCCTCTGTGTTGAGAGGTTGGGGGTAATGGTCAGCCATAGAATGTATCTAACATTTTCTCTCTGGTAGCCTTCTTTTGTTTTTTTGAAGAATTATTTATTTTATTTTATTTATTTATTCATTTATTTTACTTTGACCAGAGAGAGACACAGAGAGAGAGAGAGAGACAAAGAGAGAGAGGGAGCTTTTATCTCTCTGTGTTCTCTGCCCTCTGTGTTGAGAGGTTGGGGGTAATGGTCAGCCATAGAATGTATCTAACATTTTCTCTCTGGTAGCCTTCTTTTGTTTTTTTGAAGAATTATTTATTTTATTTTATTTATTTATTCATTTATTTTACTTTGACCAGAGAGAGACACAGAGAGAGAGAGAAAAAAAGAGAGAGGGAGATGAGAAAGCAAGTCACCAGGTCCGGGGCTCGAACTGTGGTCGGCCATGTGGGAGTTTCCATTGCCTTAACCACCACGCCAGTAGTCTTCTAACAGCCACCTGGGAGCAGTGGTTCTTCCTCACCACTCCCTGCCACGGCAGTCTTATCCCTGCAGCAGTGGCTGACTGAGATCTAAAAGCTGAAGGCTCATCTTTTAGTTTGGTAGTTCTTGTTTTTGTTTTCTCACCTCTCATCACAAAGGCCATTTTCGATGATAAGGTTCAGTCCCTTCTTAAAGTTCATGTTGCATAAATCTTTAGGGGTTTCAAACACTTTTGGTCTCAGTCCAAATTGAACCAAATCAGGTTTTTGAATGCTTTAATTAGTTTTAAAACAATTTAAAAATAGAAATGAAAAGGAAGAAAGAGAAAGTAAAAAACACATATGCTCATGAGACACACACACACACACACACACACATAGGGAGAGAGAGAGAGAAAGAGAGAAAGCTGCCACCAGGTCTGGGATTCAAACTGCAGCTGGCCATGTGGGAATCCAGCGCCTCAACCACCACACCACCTGCTGGCCCTGAAACATAA